TTGATGTAGCTCTCGATAGCATTCCTGAAAACGAGATATCATTAAAGCTGTGAAACATTTTCTGGTAGGGCTCAGAAAAATGCTAATTTTTTTTTGCAAACTCTGACTCAAATTTTTTCCGATAGAAACTCATCATTTGAGTCCAATTTCAACATGGATAAGTTTTCATTTGGGACCCATGCTCTCTGATGAAGATCCAGGAAACTAGAAAATCCTGGTTACGCCACTATTTTGTAGTCAACATGGTTTTTCAGCAAGTTCTCTTATCCTGGGTGTAGGTGTGGATACTATAGAAGAAAAGACCTATATCCATACCGACACCCTAACACCCGTAGCCACACTTCACACATACAGCGTAACACCCATATCGTGCACCTACCCGCCCAAACCTTCTCACGCGATCAACTACTGCGTAATTCCTAACCTACCAGCTGTCTTCAAGTAACTGGTTAACAATTAGTGGTGGCACCAACGACTCGATGACCTTTTGAGATTTATCTTGGCTCGTTGGAAGAACGCTGCATCTTTATTTGTCTTGAAACAATGTCTCTTCTCCTCTTTATTTCTTCTTTCGAATTGGCAGGCCCATTTCAATGGCATCCTATCTCCAAATAGCGGCTATGCAATCGGCTCTTCTAGAGACACTTGACATATCTAGGTGACATTTATAGTGGAGATGGACCGTTGCTATTGGAGTGATTACCTACCAATTCACTGTTGTGTTTTGAACGAGCATGTTCTGTTATATTATTAAAGCAGGCATGGTGTTTATTCCACTTGATTGGATCGGTATGGTCAAATCACCATCAATATATACTGACATTTAACATTATTTATTTCTATTCGACATAAAAAAATCGAAAAACCATAACATAATTCATTTGGAATGTACATCGAACACTCCAAAAATGTGTTTTCTAATGCTGTGGAATTAATATGATTTTTCAAACTATCACCACACATTAACAATGTACTGGTACACTCAATTAAGAGTGTTCGACAGCCATCCTTCCACAGTCAAACCGATTCGAATAAAAAATAGACATTTAATGTAAACATGAAAAGCACTGTTTATTTTCTTAAAATTACATTAAAATTGAACACAGACAAAAAACAATAGAGCAAAAGCATTATGTTTGCAAGGTTTGTTATTGAATTTTGAAAATGTAAAGGATTGCTGCATTTTCATTTTGATAATTATTGAAGATGAAATCGATTTTGAATAGTCTTTCTAATACGAACGGTAGCATCATTAAATTCTTTTCGATAAAATTCAGATGGTAAAACAAAGATTACGAATATAAGTAATGGTGGAATAAATGAAATGAAATAACCACCGATAAAAAGCCAAGGATTTCGAACTGATTTCATACATGTAGATGCAAATGAAATAATGAGACGTGGAAGGGCAACTATGACTAAAACTAAGGAGCTTAATAAGCGATGTTTATGTTCATGAAGTTGATTACGTAGGTGTTCTCTATATGTCTGCTCTTCACAAATTCTCGATTTTTGTCGAGCTATTAAAACAATAATCGCTAGAACAGCAATGAAATTTAAGCAAAACGGTAGAATAAAATGCAAAATATTGACAATTGAAGCATAAATTTTTACAGATGATGAATAACGAATTACACACCATGTTCTTTGTTCTTCTGTGTCTTCAAGTAAATGACGATGAAAAGGATCATGCATAAAACTTGCCAAAGTAAATAGATTTATACCAAGGATTAGTCTTTTAGCAATTTTTTTACTTGT